CTAAAATGAGAAGGGAAAAAAAAAAAAAAAAAAAAAAAAAAAAAAAAAGGGAGCAGAGGTCATCGTAGCCCTCGGACACCTGATCAGCATTCAGTAAGAGCGTTACTATTTGGTAGCTCCAGGGTTACGCAGGGCTTTTTCCCCCGCAGCTGTCCAAAACCCGGTTTCTACTTGAAAGTTCCCGGCTGTTTTTGGCAGGCCTTGTCTACACTTACCGATCCCACCAGTAACTGCAGTACCATCTCGCCAATTCCAGCTCCGGTCACTAACACGGTCGTGGCACAGCCTGCAAAGAAACAGCGCAAGCGAGGTTGGCAGGGAACAGGCGAAACAGCCCGCAGGATCGGCCCATAGCTTCTTCACACTGCCCTTTCACGGATCTCTCCCTACGAGATTTACCAATACTTTACGTATGTTCCCATCTAGCGTTGCGAATGCCTCTTCTGACCTGTGGTGGTGCAGAAAGGTTGAAGTTTAAGCCAAAAACTCCTGTCCTGTCGCTTGTCTCTGTTGGCAGAGGTGATGTTGCTTCTCACTGGAAGGATTTTCATTCTGTATCACTGCCCCAGAGACAGAAGTTGGCAGAGACCTCCTGTAAGAGCTGGCCAAACTCAAGGATTTTCAGTTCACTGATAATCTGGATGATGTTTTCCAAACCAGCTCCCTGTAAGCCTCTAAAGCCTCTTGTGTCCGTCCCTGAGAGCCCTACAGCTGCAGGAAACTACGAACCAGTCTAGATCCCTGCCTGGAGAATTTATTAGTACAACAAAGCCAGGATTTGTGCAGTCTGGTTTTCCGACTGCGAGCTTGAATAAACATTGTATGCAAAAGTAGATCTTTCTTCCAGGCCTCCTAGGCATCCCTGAGGAGGGAGGGAGGGAGCTGCTGGGTGTGCTGGTACCCGAGCTCCAGTCCCGCACGCCCAGCCGCGTTCAAAGCCTGCAGGCGTGCCCGAGTCCCCGCTCACCTTGGTACTGCAGGATGTCCTCGGTGTAGGCGAGCATGCTGGGGAAGGTGCTGCTGAGAAACAGCCCCAGCGACGCTGTCCCCACAAACAAGAAGACAACGCTGTAGGAGAAAATCAGGAGCAGGAGGAAGGTTATCAGGACTCCAACCTGTGAGCAACACACGCACAGTCAGTAGGAAGGTAGATGCTGAGTTGCAATAGGCTCTAGATTTTCTTTTTTTGTAGAGAATAGTCCGGAAAAGAAAATAAACTATACTGAAAAAAGATCACAAGCTCTGAAAAACTGAAGTAACTGGCCAAATAAAATCCATCTACCTTTACAGTAAAGAATTTGGTATATAACAGGACTTTACAACATAACTTGGTACTTAACTCTCAACTTCATTAGGTAGAGACTTAAGATCGCATCTGAAAAAATACTTTTTCTCTGCAGCTTTAAATACAATATTACTGCTACTTCCATAATATTTACATGTCTCAATCACTAATAAGTCTTATTCAGTGGGTTAAAGAATTAACTCCCTCTCAGTAACTGCTCAGAAACCAGTCACAGCAGTAAAGCCGAAGAGCCGACTAAATTTAAAATAAACTTGCCCCCACCTCTGGCTCGCTGCAGCGTCCGAGCAATCGCAAACCCGTCCGGGCCATCGCAAACCCGTCCGGGCCGCACCGCGTTCGCCTGGCACGGGGAGTCAGCAGAGGGAGCTCTGCAACGCCAGCTCCAGTTATTTTTTGTGAAGTGTTTGGGCCCTGATGATGGGCGCGGGCGCAAGGGCAATCTGGACTCTAAAGAAATTGAATTCAAGCTGCAGTTTGCTGCGATGCTGAAGGGACTCCAAGAGCTGCGTATCTGACTGCAGACAGCAGCACCAGCCAGCAAGCACTGCACGAAGGGCTCGGGGTCTGCCGAGTGCGTTTTTGTCCTCGGACGGTACGGCTACCGTTGCCTGTAAGGGGAAGTGAGGCGGCTGCCATTCAAGGCTGGAGGCTATTCCCTCTTCTCTCCAAATAGCAGCAGCAGCTAAGGCAGAAGTCCTGCCCTCAGGTTTGTTAACAGAGCAGTCGCGCAGGGCGCACAAGCGATTAAGTCGGTAGCACGCACCACGGAGAGCGACGGGACTGTTCATATCACATACCCGAGATGGAGCTGCTGATGCTGAGCTTCCCCTGCTCCCATGTAAGTAGTGACGATGTGCTGAAGTAGGAGATTACACTCATTTTTAAAACGATCGCGTTTCATTTGGCTGTATCTGTTGGTACCTAAGCTCAGTTTTCAAAGCCAGCAGCAGCAAGGTGCCGAGCCGGCCGCCCCACCTGCCCCCTCCGCAGCAGGGATCCGCCTAAACCTTCAAACGTCCCCACGGGAACGGTCACTCCTCTTCTCCCACCACCCTGTTACATATTCTTGGCCTCGCAACATTAACTGTGAAACTTGCTACCAAAATAATTGTGGTTTAAATAAATTGTAAATTAACTGCCTTCGCACTTGTTTTTTTTTTTTTTTGTTGTTGTTGTAAGAAGTGTGAATGGGAACAACTCCCTCCCTGTTTTCTGCCACATCCTTACGTGCATCTTTCTTACATATCCTGAAAGGATTCCTTCCCCTTCCTTCAAGTGAAGGTGTTTTATTAATTTAAGCAACCTCACATCACATTGGTTTCTTTGACAGCTGCTACAGTCTAAGTAGAGAATTTCCTGAACTACCTGCCTTCCCTTTCCCTCGGCTAACATGGGCATTAACGGCCCTGCAGAGGCCAGAGAAGACACCGTGCAAAGTAAGCAAAGCTGGCAGACACTTTACTAGGTGCTTTCACACATCTAACGTTAGATTAACTGAGAAGCAAGCTCAGAAAAGCAGCGCCATCAAGCTGTAAGTCTCAGCTACCTCCTGCATCGGAGTCAGCTGCGAACGCGCAGGGACAGCGAGGCGGAGGAGGCCAAGGCAGCTCACCCGGCCGCCGCGCCCGCGGGCTCCGCCTGGCGCAAACCTGCCCCGGGTACGGCACGAGCGCGGCGGCGGCTCTGCGCAGCGGAACCAGAACTGGACAGCGTCCTGGAGGCAAGCAGGATTAAAACACAGTAAAAGCGGCCTTACCACATTGATGAAGACCATAGTTGCCGGCTTCATTCGGTAGGACACAGGGATGGAGATGAGCCTGCCCAGCGTGATGAATCCCCAGAACAGGCTGGGCAGGTAGCCGGCCACCTTATGTACTACAGAGAGAGGCTCTTCCACCGCATAGCTGTAAACGAAGCCCGAGTACTCTCCCTGCAGGGAAAACAAAACACCATGTCACGCTGATGGGCGACTTACAGGCTTGGCAACTTTAACTTCAACCTGTCCCTCAATTATTCACAATATTGTGATAGTGCTGGAGAGCCCACCTCTGGATTTGCTACCAAGTCTCCATGAACCTTGTTCCCAAGGGTTTGCAGCTGGAGACAGGCTTCCACCAGAAGTAGAACACAGGACTTAAGCTCTCCTAAAAGGGCAAGACTTAACAGCATTACTAGGTAAAATGCATGCTTAGCTCTTATCTGTAGAGATACTCTCTTCCCTAGGGACTGTCTTGTCCTTTTAGAATTACATACTCTCAAAACGTGTCACATTAAGAACCTGGAGTTGATCATCCTTGAAGATGGAGGCCCTGGAAAGTTCCCGTATCTGGCAGCTGCTTTGTGTAACCCCGCTCATCTTTCAGGACCCTATTTAATGCCCTAGTAAGACCCAGCAGTATTTTACCATGAGGGGACTGAGACAAAACTGTTGAAAGAAAAAGAACAGCAACTTGGCAGCCAAGAGCGAGCCTTCCTCGCCCGGACAGAAGCGCTACACACGGCAAGCCCCGTGCGACTGCGCCGGCCGGGAACGTGCTGCCAGGCCACTGCAGAGAGACCGCACCATCCCCGCGTGCTCTCGTCTTGGGTTTTGGGGGCTCAGGAGACCCATCAAACAAAGAGCCACCATTTCTTAGGAAATAAAACGAAGCCGTGCTTGCCTCTTGGCTGAAGCGAGAAGAGACCTCCGCTGCGTACAAGTAGACACCATCACAACTCCAGCTCTAAACTGGCTAGGTTAGTAGCAGTAGCAATCTAGCTGCAACAACGGAGAGTCTAGGAGAAGCCACAAACCCTCCCAAGAAGCAGGGCACGTATCAGCCTGACCGATTAGCTTTGAACGAGCTACCTCGGGAACCAGCCTGCTGCACCGGCAGACCCTCAGGTCCAGCCCACTGCACGCAGAGGACATGTGCTGGGTTTGGGCTGTTACAAGTGATTTGGAAAGAAGAAAGCCATATAGCTTTGCTCAGACAAGATCCCTCTATCAGCTGAACTCACCACAATCCCATCAGTCATGAAGAGAACAAGAGCCCCAGTGATGTGGACTGCGAAGTAGGCGTAAGAAGCCCCTCTGAAGTTTTTGCTTTGGCAGCAGCTAAATAAGTCATCATGACCTGGTGAAAAACAATGCAAAGCAAACTTAGCCGGAACGTCCCCCTGGGGCTGGGTGGTTGCCAGCCCGCAATGGGGATTTGTTTTGTGCTCAGCTGCAAGACAGAGATTCATAGAGGACGGTGAACAACGCGGAGCACTGCTAACCTCTGCTGGCACAACTTCTTTCTTTACCTACCTCTAAGCTTTCAGAAGGAAGACGGATGTGCTTATGGGCTGCTGTCCACAGACTGGGATCCTAGCTCTCCAGGATACTTACTACTTCTCTTACTGTAGCTGCTTGTGCTCCCCTTCCCATTTAGGAGCAACACATTGCTGGCCCCGCTCTTACAGTCAATAGAAGCAAGCCCATTCGACCATAGCGCTCATGCTCAGAGCCCTTGGTACCACCACACAGCAGAGTCCTGCCCAGGACAGCTCATCTTCCTCAGCTAAATAATATTTAACCAAACAAGAAAGCAAGCGATAAACACACAGCTAGTGTCGCCTCCCCTGACCAGACCACAGCCTGCCAAAGCCGGGGGTCAGGACCCCAGGAATTCCCGACTCTCCCATCCTCATGCTTGTGTCACGCCACTCTGGGACGTGCAAAGGGCTGGTGTTATGGTAACGGCACCTGGAGACAGTTGCTGTGCATGGCAAAGATGAAATTCTCACTACTTCTATGGGGAAGGAGGGATTTTGCCAGCACAGACGTGTCTGCCAAAGATCACAGCAGTCAGCACACAGCCCTCCGCTTCTCTAAGGATTCATCTCAACTGCCTCGAAGAGGAAGATGGAGATCTGAAGAACATGAAGCTCCAATGGGTTGTATGAAACCGGGCAGCTGGGTTGAGGAAAGAAACCATCAGTGCCTCAGCTAAGGGAAATGCTATCAGATGAGCACAACCTTATCAGACACCAGAGAACCCACTCCGTTCGGGACACCTGCGATCCCTCCCTGCAGCGCCTCACCGCATCTCTAACTGCCTCCACCTTCAAGCGTTCCCTAAAATTTCCTTTTATTGTTCAGGTAAAGCCACCTCTTCTGTAATAACACTACACGCTCCTCTGATAACCCTAAAATACGATTACTTCTGGAGATTCACTATTTAGCTGAAGGATTTACTTCGATACGTTTCTCTTGGGTAGCAAAGAACAATGTTACTATTGTCCCCAAAGCTGGGTGTAGTCACAAGTTCAAGAGCAAACTATTGCTGGAGTTTAACTTTCCCCTCAAACAAGGGCGCTGTCCTTATTCCTTTCAGATTTATAAAAATCAGCGTTCTGCAGCACGATGACCACTTTTAAACTCAACAGTCAGCAGAGCCAGCTCAAAACCTGACCAAAAACCAGAAGGAAACGAAGGGGCACAACTTTCACGTGTGCTTAAATGACTCGGGAGCCCAGGCGTAGTTTTAGGACAGCTCGGAGAAAAGCAGCCCGGAGTCCCAACACCAGGACACTCATCTCTGTTCAGGGGTTGTGGTCCCGCCTAATTCGAGGGCAACTGGGCACCAAATTGTCAGTTTGGATTGTTTGGGCACTTCTGGATTACATTCACGTGTACATTTTGGAAAGTTTCCTCCTTAGACAACAGCGATGGATCTCACTTGTTAAACTCAATGGAGACACTCAGAAATAGGACTTTTTCTCCCCCTGCTCGCTCCCCGTTCCCCCCCATCAGAGAGGTGCCCCCAGCTCACCTCCTGCTGCGCGGGGCCTCTGCACAGTGGTGGAGAGATCGTCCTTCTCCGCGGGCCGCGCTTCCATCGCCAGCTCGTCGGCCGACAGCAGCGGGTGGCTGCTGTTGTTGAAGCACGGCACCATCCGCTCCTTGTAGAGCAAGAAAAACACCGCGATGGGGACCGGCAGCTGGGGAGGAACGGAGAGGGGCAGGTCAGCATGACACAAGTCTCGCACAAAACACGGTCCTGTTCCCCAGTCGCGAGGGCCTTTTAGGAAGCCGCGCTCGGCGTCTGCAATAGATGTGCCTGAATTAACCTCCGAGAGCAGCCTCACGCTGCCCTGACGGGGCAAGGACGGGCTGGCAGCGGGGTAAGGAGCCACTGCAGGAGGGACAGAGGCTGGCTAGGAGAGCTGGTAGGGAGGGGGAAAAAAGCAGCAAATCTGGAGCACAGCTGGGGCATCTCCTGCCAGTCCCTGTGGGATGCCAGGTGGGCTGGGGACCATTCACCTGGGATGGGGGACAGGGACATGGGAACAGAAGGCACCTAAATACAAACCTCATGAAGCACCATGCCAGCCCTTCAAAACCAAAATGTTTTGGTTTCCAAGCATTTGGCCACTTCTGCCCAAAGAATAAAATAATAAAGTAGCTTTTGCCTGTGGAGAGCAGAACAGTTCTAATGGGAGACCTTCTGTCACTGAAATTCTTTGTGAGGGAAAAGCAAGCTGCTCCAAGACCTGCTTTGCCCATCTCCAGCCATGAGCAGAGGTTGCTCAGCATCTCATGAGAGATGAGCTCGTGGTTCCCAGGCCAACAATGCCAGCACCGCCACAGCCGAGCCGCTTCAAACAGCCCTTGGTACAGCCTCTGCTGAAGAACCTGGGGCTGAAGAGCAGCGAGCCATGGTCCTCTCGGCTGTCGCTGCCTTAGAGACCTCCGCACATCCCGGGATGCCGCTGCACTGGCTCCCAACACCCAGCGTTCCCACCAGCACCATTCCCTGCAGTCAGGGCTTTCTGCCTGGTGCTAACACGGGGACCGTGGGCTTGTACCTGCCCGCTGGGTCCATCACACGGCAGCCGCAGCGTCGGGCCCCCTGGCACCGTGCTTCCTCGCTGCCATGTGCCTGAGGACGAGCCCGCTCCCTGCGCACACCCACGACTCCGTGGTGCCTCCAAGCCCAGAGGGACTCGCTCTCTCTCTCTCTCTTTTTTTTTTTTTTTTTTTTTTTTTTTTTTTTTTTTTTTTTTTTTTTT